ACAATTGGGACCGGGGAGATGGCTCAGTAGAATAAGCGCTTCCTTGGCAAGCATAAGGGCCTGAGTTCAATTCCTGGTTCCACCAAAAAAAAGAAAGAAAGAAAGAAACCCGATTCCCGGCCTGCTGTCACCGGGGCGCATTAAAATGGCCATTGAGATTGGGCGTGGGGGTGCGTGCCTGTAATCCCGGTGCTTGGGAGACTGGAGGATCACTACGAGTCTTATCTGTGTGGTGACACCCTGTACACCCTGTACTAAAAGCATGAAAAAAAAGAAAGAAAGAAAGAAAGAAAGAAAGAAAGAAAGAAAGAAAGAAAGGCTGGTGAGATGGCTCAGTGGTCTAAAGCACCTACTTATAACAAGCTTAGCAAAGCACAGGGACCGCGGTTCAATCCCCCAGCACCACATGTCAACCAGCCCTGCCCCCTGGTGGGCTGAGCGGGCCACACACACACATAAATAAATAAATAAAATTAAAAAAAAAAAAAGAAACCGAAAGTATAAATAAAAAGCAAGCTAAAAGGTAGATGACAGGAAATAGGAAGACCTTTCTAAAGAGGGAAAGGGATCAAAAGATGGGAGGAGAGGGGAGGAGGTGGGAGGAGAGGGGAGGAGGGGGCAAAAGGAAGATGTGTTCTGTCTGTACACAGAGACCCCACAGGGGATGGAAACATGGGGCTCTGCAGACATCTACTCATAAAAAATAAAGATTTAAAATATAAAAAAGAAGAGAGCAGGATGGTGGTTCATGCCTGTAATCCCAGAACTCTGGAGGCTGAGGCTGGAGGATCGTTAAGAGCTCAAGACCAGGCTGGGTTACAAAGTGAGCTCAAGGCCAGCCTGAGCTGCACAGCGAGACTCTGTCTCAAAAAGACAAAACAACAATAATAATAAAAATTTAAAAATTAAAAAAAAATAAAAGAAGAAAGACAAAGCCCGCCTTTTTCCATGGAAGAAAGTCACTTGCAATCAGAATCATAAAAAGAGTGGACTAAGACATCCCCCTTTAAGGTCCCAAAGGTCCTTCGGTTCACAGCTGGCTTCCCACATCAGAAAGAAACAGAGCATCATTGTCCTCATTCGCTGCCATCATCATGGTCCTTGAGTGGCTAGCGCTTCACTCTTAACCACGCCCACCTTCCCTCGACCCCGCCCCCAAGAGCCACTCTGCCTTCGTCTCACACCCTTCTCCCCACTTATCTTTTTTTTTGTAATTAGGAACTAATACAGGGTCTTTACTGAGCTACGCCTGAGCCCTCCTTGTCTTACCTTTTTTATTTTTATTTTGAGACAGGTTCATACTAAGTCACTAAGTTGTCCAGGCTGAGCTGAAACTTGATTCTCCCACAGTGGCATCAGTGTTTTCCTCTCCTCTCCTCTCCTCTCCTCTCCTCTCCTCTCTTCTCTTCTCTCCTCTCCTTTTCTTTTCCTTCTTTCTTTTTTTTACTTAGACAAGGTCTCAGGGTTCCATCCCCCGCACCACATGTCAGGCCAGCCCTGCCCCCGGGGCACACTGAGCCAGCCACCAAGATCATGTATGGTGATGCATGCCTGTAATCCCAGCACTGGGGAGGCTGAAAACAGAACGATCACTACGAGCCCAAGCTATGGAGTGAGATCCTGTACCAAATACATTTTTTTTTAAAAAAAGTCTTGGTATGTATTGCAGGCTGGCCTTGAACTCACTAAGTAGTCCAAGCTGGCCTCAAACTCATGGTGATCCTCTTGCCTCAGCCTCCTGAGAGCTAGGATTACAGGCAGGCTCAACCACACTTGGGGATTTTTTTTTTTTTTTTTTTTTTGTTACCAGGGATCAAACTCAAGACCCCGTACTTTCCAGGCCGGCACTTGCGCCGCTGAACTATCTCCTCAGACCATGGTATTGGTGCTTCTTAAAACAATGTGTGTGGATACAGTTTTTTACGAAGAAGCTACAATAGGCATCATTGCTGTGGTCACTATTTTTGCTTCTTCTATGTGGCGGGATTGAACTTCCTGCACTAGGTCCTGGTCTAGTGGTTGGGTAGAACCAAGTGACTAATTTTAGCCAGTGAGTACATCATTTGTAGGTCACAGGATTTAATTACTGCCATGAGCCCTCCAGCGTTCCCATTCAAGTCCAAGGCAGTGGCTGCTCTATTAGTCTTGGTCTCCGGTGACCTCAGAGAGCACAGCTTTGTGGATGACCCATCATGAACACGCAGTGTGAGTGACAAAGACATCATCATCGTTGTACCCCACAAGATTCCCAAGGTGCTTTCTTACTGCGCTGACTGAGAGAAAGTGAATGGAACAAGCTCCGGGAACCACAGTTGTGAAGGGAAGGAAGCCATAGAAACCAGGAGAACCCGAGGCCCTCAGGAGTCACCGACGTGGCCTTCTGGGCCTAGCTCCTTTCCCTGAGCTGTTTTCCGGGTACATCCATGTTGTGGAGCAGGTCAGTTCTTTTTTATGGCTGAGTAATATTTCATTGTATAGAGAAGCTGCCTTTTGTTGATCCAGTCACCAGTGCATGGCCATTTGGTCTCTCTGCCTGTTCACAGCTATATCCACTCACTAGTTCTTGTGCTCTCGGAAATGAATGAAGGAATGAAGGGATGAATGAACGTGGTAACAGCACTGTCGCAACGGAAGGCCAGGACTGGGAGCCAGGCAGGAGCCCTCCAGAGCCCAGATTCTGACCATCAGACTCTACTGCCCAAGTGGGAGTCCTTTTCCTCTCTCCTCTTTATGGAAGATCAGCGCAGCACTGAGGACTCCTGCCACGGACTGAAGAGGGAGAGGGTGCGGGAAAAATCAAGCTAGCTCAGACTGGAAAAGTAAAAACCAGCCAGGCCACTTACCTGGCTGGAATAAGAGAAATGGAGAAAGCCAGCTGCAGAGATCTCAGGGAACATCTTCCCTGCAGCTACGGAGTGCTAACTCCCTGCCCTGTTTTCCAGTGATTGCTGCTTCCTTCCTTCCCAGAAGCCCTGCTCTCTGAAGTCAGAGACTATGTGAAAATCTGCTATTTGCAACTGGATGATTGAAAACAGCGTTTTGCTTTGCCTGGAGGATCTAAGTCACCTTGACCCAGAGAAGTGGCCTTGATGTACACGTTGACTGCAGAGCTTCAGAGGCGAGTTGCTGGGAGCATCACTTGACAATGATTTTACCTGTACTGCTTCAAAGCACACACGGCCCAGGGACGGCGCTGCAAGCCATATTTGAAGCTGAGTGTTTCATGATAGGTCGGGACTCAAAGCTTCCTGGGCACCTTGTCCCAAACATTCCCTCCCTTGGTTTCCTAGGTAACCTACACCAATCCCAATCCCAACCCAGCCCCACATTGTACTCTGGTCTAGGCTTACTTCCCCTTGACTCATGTTGGTCTCAGCTCACTCCCTTCTGATGTAAACAAAATTAAACCACAAGGAAGATAAATGATGTCCACCTGCGACCTGGCTGTTCCAGCCGAAATCACCCTCCCTGAAAGATCCTTCAGAGTCTCCTGTCCCCTCTTTACTTGCTGCTGTCTTGGTCTGCTAGACAGCCGGCCGGCTTGATGCCCCAATATATCTACTCTCGTCAGAATGCCTGGTCTCGTCGATTGCATGAGTTCATACCCCTGATTTCCTCAGAGTCCGTCCAACAGCCTTTCATTATGATTTTAACCCAGTTCTGGCTTCCTCAGAAACCTGCAGTTATCCCACCTCCTCCCTTATTTGGTGATGTCCTGGGCTTCTCTGGTGGCAAGTCTCCTTCACTGAATGGTCAAGAAACCTAGTTTGGGCCCAGTGTGCTGGCCCAGGACTGTAATCCCAGCACCTAGGAGGCTGAGGCAGGAGGATCACACAGTCCAGCCTGGGAAACTCGGTGAGACCCTCTGTCAAAATAAACATTTGAAAGGGGGGCGGTTGGCAGTGCTCAGTGCCAGAGCACCTGCCTAGCACAATTCAGTCCCCAGTACCACTCAGAGGAGGAAGCAGAAGGGGGAGGAGGAAGAAGAGAATTTTATTGTAGTTTTATTACAGCTTTGTTCCCAGTGATCTGGGGCTGGGTAGTCAACCTCCTGTGGCACAGTGCAGGGCAGAGAGTAAATCTAGTGGGTCGCGCGGGAAAGCTCCAGGACAGAGAGAAAGTCCTCTCCAGCCGATCTAGTCCCCTTGCTGGCTGCGGAGTGTCGCCCAGGGCAGGGGACGGAGGCAACACTTTCATTCACCCGGTTCCATCCGTCTAGGGCTAAATAAAGGGTCATAAAAACGAATCAACCTCGGAGCAGAGCTGGAAGCAATGGAATGATCTAGACCCTTTCTGAGGCACAGAGGGAGTACTGGCAAGTCTGGTGCCATTTGAGGGGCTGCCCCTTTCTCCCAGAGGAAAAGGGGTTCCAAAAAATGAAAAGAAAGGGGAGGGTGAGAGAAAGTTCTAGAAATGCCCGTGCTGTGAACACCATCTTTGTGCAGGCGTCCGGGGGCTGCCAGCTGGGGTGGGGTCACTGGCAGCGCGGCCTGCACAACTCGGCTCTTCTTGTTTATTCCAGCCAAAGCTGGGGCCCTGCCAGGGCCCGCCCCCGCCTGAGCGAGGAGGACTCGGCGCTGAAGGCTCCTGCTGGGGACCGGAGGTTTTCTTTGCTGGTCCTTGGGGGGTCTTGCGGTGGTCCAGGCCGGGACAGGCGGGCACAGGAGCAGGGCAGGCGCCTTCTACCATGCCGGGCTGCTCCTGCTGGAACGATGTTTTCCAGTACGAGACCAACAAAGTCACCCGCATCCAGAGTGTGAACTACGGCACCGTGAAGTGGGTGCTGCACGTGATGGTCTTCTCCTACGTTAGGTAAGTCGGGTGAGCCGCTCCGCAGTGCGAGACAGCACAGGAAACCGAGCGCGCTGGGCCACATCCTGAGCACCTGCCGCGCGGGCTTCAGCTCGCAGAAGCGCTTTCGCAGCAGGCTGGAGGAAGCGCGCTGGCTGCGGGAGGAGGAAGCTGGGGCACGCGAGGGGCAGGCGGGTGGGGGACGCAGGCCACGCTGTCTCCCGGGAAGGAGCGAGGACTGCGGGCACACCTGGTGACGGCACTGGCATCTGAGTCATGAAGCTTAGGAGGAAAACGGGACCAGGCGTGTAAATGTCATTCCGTGTTCTCTGCAAATGTCAGGAGGATCCGCTCTTGTTTTCTTAACAGCCTTGGGGTGTAATTCATTCTCTACGTGATCGGCTTGTGTTTAGCTGTTTATGGCACTGTTAAGTCATCACAGCTTTACATCACTGTCCCAGCACCCCGAAATCCCACAGCCTTTGCCATGGCTCTCAACCTCCCCAGGACGCCCTCGGCTGCAGACCTGACAACCCACTGTGTCTGCTGGGATTCATCTGTCCTGTAAACAGCATCATACATGTGAGGTCCTTCATAGCTGGCTTTTTTCCTCTTAGCATGCTTTCTACATATTATATATAATGTATTTGGTACAGGGTCTCACTACACAGCTCGGACTCGCAGCCTTCCCAGGCTGGGATTACAGGTGTGCACTGGGCGCAAGGTGGGGCATGTGGTGCTGGGGATCAAACCTGGTCCCTGTGCTTGCGTAAGGAGGCCCTTAGTCCACTGAGCTATGTCGCCAGCCCTAGCCCATTGTATAAACAGACCACTCTTTAAAGTTTCTTTAGCTTTTTGAGACGGGGTCTCACTCTTGTTCATGCTGGCCTTGAACTCTCCACAACCCTCCTGCCTCAGCCTCCCAAATGCTGGGATTACGAGCATGTGCTACCACGGCCAGCTCCAGACCACTTTCCTTTGTCCATTCATTCATCAAGAGATGGGCCTTCGGGTTGTCTTCCTTCGCAACTGTCGTGAAGAATGCAGCCGCAAGCATTTGCATACAGGTTCCGTGCGGATGTATGTTTTTGTTTCTCTCTAGGCATAGAATTGCTGGGTCACACAGTCACTGCGTGTCACTTTCAGATGAAGTGCTGGGCTGTTTTCCACAGCAGTTGCACTTTTGCACCCCTCTGTCACCGCAGTGTGAGGCTGTGGTCTGTCCACGTCCTCCACTTGTCACTGTGACCTGTGCTGTGGGCAACCTCGTGGCTGTGAGATGCTTTCTCACTGCAGTTCTGCTTGCATTTCTCTGGGGACGAAGGCCCTTCCTTTTCCACATGACAGCAGCGGGCATGCTGGTGGGGACTTGTTAGCATCATCTATTTTATATTCCCGGCCACGTCTCCCTGGCCATGTTACGTGACCTCTCTGAGTCTCAGATTTTTGTGTCTATTCATAGGGTTGTGGTGATAATTAAACAAAAAACAGTATAAAAATTCATCATCGTGATGACTGGCATAGGGTAAGAGCTACATATCTGGTAGCTGCTTTTTATTTTTATTATTTTTATTATTTTTTAAATTTTATTTATGTGTGTGTGTGTGTGTGTGTGTGGTGCTGGGGGATTGAACCGTGGTCCCTGAGCTTTGCTAAGCTTGTTCTAAGTAGGTGCTTTAGACCACTGAGCCATCTCACCAGCCCCGGTAGCTGCTTTTTAAAAGTCATCTTTGTGGCTATTCCAGATAATTTTCTGTACATTCTCTCCCTTTTAGGGGTAAAATAATCACATCCACTCTTGAGTCTGAGAACTGCAAATGGGGATTCCAATAGCTTTTCCCTCTTGGAGCCTTGGATTCCTTGCCTCTGCAATGGGATAATCCCTGTCGGGACTATTAAATGAGGGAATAGATACAAAGATGTTAGAGAAACAGGTGGCGCATGGCAAGCCCCTGTTAAGTATTGGTGCTTATTAATAATGCTGATATTAGGATTATCATTATTGGATCTATATGTTTGTTATTTGTGATGGATGTCAACTGGGGGTCAGCTTGTCACACCCAGCTGCACTGAACCAGCCCAGTGGTGCTGGGCGTGGGAGGCCCACCTGAGGGCTGTTGCCGGTGTCATAAGAGGCAGAACTGGAGAAGCTGCTGAGAGGCTGTTAGGGAAGCTGTAGGGAGCTGCTGGTTCTTTTGGGCTATTCTCCTGGGAGACCTTGTCATGCTGGCTTTCCTGATGAACTTGGCTGCTCTTTTCAGAGGAGGAGCTCGGTATCTTGTCACTGAGAATGGCTTCAGTTCACTGGGAGCAAGCTCCGGTCCTCACCTTGAGCATCGCTTCCTGGCCCCAGAGGGGAAGATGGTGCACAGCTCAGTCTCCTGGAAAAACTTGTCACATTGGCTTTCCTGGTGGGGACTCAGCTTTCTTTATTCTCAGAAGAGCTCCGGACCTCACTGCTGCTGAGGACGGCTGTGCTGCTTTTGGGGGCGCTCCGGTGCTTACCTTGAGCATTGCTTCCTGGCTCCAGGGCAGATCCCTCAGCCTGCTAGCACAGGTCCTTCATCCCGCTGGTGCAGACTTTCTCGATTCTACCACTAACTTTTCGGAACTTCCCAGCACAGATCTGTGAGGCTGGTCTGCACGAGACATTGTCGCGGGCTCTAGGCCTCCAGTTGGACTTGTAGGAGGCATAGTTATGGGCTGTAGGTCTTCAGCTGGACTCATGCAGGACATACCATGGGATCCAGGCTCTCTGCTGCATTCTTTGGTCTTTAGTGTATGTACAGATTTCCTGCATTCTTTGTATGATTCTTTGGGTGATTATAAAATAATCTTATAAAGCGTGTGCCCTGTATTGTATTGTTCCCCTAGTAAGCCCCAAGCCATGACATTGTTCAACAAATATTAAATGGCCATATATATTCATATTCTAAAAATTAGATATGTTTAAAATTAGACTTAGTCCATCTAGCATAAGGCAAACCACAAAAAGCATAATTAGTGACTAAAGGTTCCCTTTGTGGTGGTACATGACTTTTGTATATACATATGTCACAATTGCACAAGCAGGGAATGTGATTCTTAGCATTCTTGGGTCCAGCACACAGTTATCTATTGATTTATTTTATGTATTTGGTAGAAGGTCTCACTATGCAGCTTGGACTCATAGTGATCCTCCTGTGTTCAGCCTCCTTAGTACTGGGATTACAGGCGTGCACCACCACGCCTGGTCTCGACTGACTCAGCATGCCGGGGGATGGGGCCAGAGAGCAAACCCCGGTCCCTGCACTTGCCTAAGCAGGTGCTTAGTCCACTGAGCTATCTCACTGGCCTCCCACAATTATTTATTAATTAATTAATTTGAAACAAGTTCTCTCCATGTAGCCAAGGCTAGCCTTGAACTTGTAGCAAACCTCCTGCCTCAACCTCCAAATTATAGGATTACAGGTGTGTGCCACTACATCATTTCTTCTTCTTCTTTTTAAAATGTATTTTAGTACAGAGTCTTCAGGATCTCACTATGCAGATCCGACTTGTAGTGATTCTCCTATTTTCAGCCTCCTGATTGCTGTCTCAGTGTGCCTCTGGGGCAGGGCTGGCACGGCACACTGGGGATAGAGCCCTGGCTGCCGTACTCTGCCTAGGCAGGCGCTTTAGTCCACTGAGCCATCTGGATGGCCCTCACCACATCATTTCTTACAAGCAGACCATGGCGTGTGTAAGACCATGAGAACATTGTACAACGATAGCTACTTTTTTTTTTTTTTTCCAGAAGGTGGAAACATGCCTGAACCCTGAACTCCTCAGATTCCTCCGTACAGGTTGCATGGGAACACGGACGGGTGTGCAATTTACCTGGTGCAGTGATTCCACCATTGAGTGCTGTAAAATAAGCTGGAGAGATGGCTCAGTGGAATAAGTGCTTCCCTGGCAAGCGCAAGGGCCTGAGTTCAATCCCTGGTTCCGCAAAAAAACAAAAAAACAAAAAACAAAAAACAAACAAAAAAAAACATGAGATGAAATACTTAAGTGGGAGTCCACTCTGCCACTCTCTGTCCCCATGCATTTCTCAGAGCAAGTGCCTTTTTTGTTTGTTTGTTTGTTGAGACAGAATCTCACTATGTAGCCTATGCTGGCCTCAGACTCATGGCAATCCTCCTGCCTCAGCCTCCCAAGTATGGGATTACAGGTGTGCACCACCATGCCCTGCTCAGAGTGTATAGACACTTACTCCATGCATTTAATCTAGATACAAACTTTCCACCCCAAGTGGCCTCTGTAATAAGTCAATTCCTCTCCTTCATCTGGAGCAAAGCTGGGAGGACAGTACAGTGTCTCATTACAGAGCTGGAGGGAGAACTGGCACTAGGGCCCCCTGCAGGGCCAAAGTCTTGTTGCTACATTCTGTAGGCAGTTTAAGGGCTCAGCAAAGGTAATTTTGACCACATATTTAAGTGGTGAGTTCAGAAAATAACCCTCCGGCTGGGGATTTAGTTCAGTGGTGGCGCACCTGACTGGCAAGAGGTCCTGAGTTTGATTCATGGTACCTCCCCCCAAGAGAAAGATAAGTCTCACGTAAAAAGCTTATTTTCTGTTTTTACTGTATTTTAAACTAGAAGACAAGTAGTGTCAGATTTGTTTTCTTTCTTTTTGTTAGTGGAAGAGCTATTCACACGGCACTGGAGGGAGTCTCAGCGCACGGTCTGGCCATGCTGCCCTGAGCTGCTCTGGGGGTCCGAGGTGGAAATGGGACTTAGTCACCTGGGAGATGGGCAGACATCAGGGCTGGTGTGCACCACAGGCAGAAGCCTGGACAGGCTCCACCTCTTTTGGGACACAGCAGCAGGTGATAGGCTCTGGCCACCTGGCCCTGCTTGGGGGGACAAAGCAAAGAACTGGCTAAGAAAGTAAGAAGAGGCCTCAATTATTGAGCCTAGGGCACAAGGCAAGGGCTGGCCTTAGGGGAATCAAGACAGGGGCTGATCAGCTCCCAGAGCCTCAAAGCCAAGCTCAACTCT